TTCCTCTCTACCCTCCCCCTAAAATACCCTTGTTGTTCATGCATGCGGACATGCGCACTGTTACGTCATCTGGTAAACACTGCAAATGGCGCACCTTCGGAAAACGGTTCCAGTTTGCGGGAAGAACGATTCCTTTTGTCCAAACAGCATCCTACTTTTGCCTGACAGACCAACTACCTTTGGAAGAATAATATCTCCCGATACAAATGTCCGGTTATTGTCGAAAGCGACGCCTTTGATGATTTCTCGCAGACATGCCACGGTTTCTCTTTCGGCGGGCAAATGGACGATAACCGACCATGAGGTACAATAAATAGCTAGGCTTTATTTTTATCCGGGACGTTGATAACGCTTTGATATTTTTATTTAAAAACGTTGCTCAGTGTGGTTTTTTTTCATGTGGTTTGTATTTGGGTTTTATTCGGGGTGCTCAACCGAAATTTCTAAGCTTACATGCACTGTGTTTGCAGTGGTCAAGCGAGAGAGCTTTTCGCGTTTGTTGTTGTTTTTTTTCGTTGATGAATAATCAATGAGTTTGGATGGTTCGCAGCTGGTTGGATAACACACAAAAGACCACCTTAAATCATGGTTATTAAAATCTGACTTCAAAACAAAGGTTTCTTACGTAGTTTAGATTGCGCTTTAAACAGCTGGCTCGAAAGCACTCTTGATAATATAAGCTCTGCGCAGTGAACAAATATAGACTCCTTTATTTCTTCGTGTTCCTTCTTGTGTAGCTGATATCTTGTAAGAATGCGTACGTTCAAAATAGATTTGTTTGCAAAGAAAGTATATATATTTTTTGTTTTTAAACTGTATTTCAGATTTAAGCTTATATAGATGTATTTATTTAAGGGGAAAACTTTTTGAGTTGAGTTTTTGAGTTGGGCTTTTAAGTCTTGCTTTAATGATATTTGTTACTCGTTCCCATTAATAAATTAAAAGCTTGTTACTTATGTTCCTTTCAGTACACTGGTGGAAAATGTGATATGGTATAGATCCTGCCACAAAAGTTATAAATTGCCCGCTTGGTCGAATCATAGATTTCTATGATAAATTGATTATCTGCTTGATCTAAACGGAATACTGTATTTCTCAATAATTACATGTATAGTTGCATTGATCTTCTGCCAAAAATTTTAATCCTAGCCATGCCACATAATTTTAAATTCCAAATCACTCTTGATTCTCATCTCTAATATTTTTGGTGAAGAAGGTGCATATTTTGCGTAATGAGTATTTTGAAGTTACCATAGTAAGGTATCTCAGTGTATGAAATTGAAATATACTTTTGGTCAAATTCTAAATTCAATTTTTATTGTGGCTCATGAGTGCATTCTTTTCATGTGATTAGTGAATCATTACAGTGATCCATCTAGAAAAAGGCAGCAGTGAGTCTAGGGACTCACACAGCCAAAAACCTGTGAGTCCCACACACAAAATTATATGAGTAAAACCTTTGAATAACACATTCAATAAATAAAATGAACATTGTATTTTATTAGTTACTTTTTTTTTTTACTTTGGAGGGCCATCTTGTGTTCGAGGAGACCAGCATGCCAATTTAGAGTGGTGTTTGAAATCTTCTTTACTCATTCCGTTCGATTTCCTAGCCTCTGAGCAGACTGTACAATACATATAATTTCCATTTTTCTTGTAGACCAGCCACGCATATGTTTTGGGCCACGGCTCAAAAAATCTTCGTTCCTTAGATTTTGCAGATTTTGCTTGGGCTGATTCTTCATTGTCTTCATTCGCTTTTGCATCATCCTTCTCTATTGCAGTTGCTGCTTCTTGTTCTTGATGTTTACTCGCTTCGGGCGGTTTTGCAAATGAGAGCTTTTGTTGCCCCTCCAGGGGCTTAAGTTTTTTCTTCGGTCGCATATAATTGGAATAACAATGTCTGCCCTACAAAAGCAAGCAGGAAGAGACAGAAAGCATGTGTATGGAATTGGAAACCATACACTTCTGTAACATACTGCTGATCATGAAAATTGAGCCTGCAATGACCAGAACGTAATGGCGTTCGCTTTACGATCATCCGCTGCTTACTTTGATACGTATTTTGAAATTTTTCATAAATAGAGAAGAAAAGTCATCAAGTCATGATCGAAATAGAGAGAAGGTAATTTTTTTGCGTCCAATTGAACGCATCTGGGACTAAATTTGGGCATCTTTTAGGAAAATTAAGAGTTTGAGACGCGGGACGTGCAGGCAGATGGATCACTGCATTATCAGAGTGTAATGCTGACTTGAAACATAGACCTTTTAGTACTTTGGCATAAATTTGGCATTTGCATGAATAAGGCAAATGGGAGTCATTTTGCTAGGACATTTGTACAGTATTAGTATAGGCAAGAATATAAATGCGTGTGCAATTAAGGATTTAAATTATGAGTGATATTTAGAAATTCTCTTAAATTATTTCACTAGCCTTTAGGCGAGCACAATTTGAAAGAATTTTCAAATATCACAAGTAGTGTAAATCCTTAATTGCTCGAGCTTTCAAACGATTACTCATTTATTAAATGACAGAAAATTGCGAACATGCGCATGAGATAATTTGCAATGCAGTGCAAATTAAAATTAACGATAAATTGGGCTGCTCTCAGGTAATCACAATGAAGTAATTTACTCAGTTACATAACAACATATAAGACATCATCTCGGTGTTTTTTTTGTGCAAAGCAATACTTTTGCATTTTTTTAAATTTTTGTTTCAGAGTCTAAATGGAGTCTTCATAAATGGCAACAGAATTCAGCCCAATACCCGTCATGTTCTGGAATTTGGTGACAAAGTTGCTTTTGGTGTTGGGATAGACTCTAGTCCACCAGAGTTTGAATATGAGTTTGAACCTGTAGGAAAAGGTTGTAAAAGACGTGCAGATACACCTCTGTCAAGAAGCAAAGGAAATTCTGTTAAACATAGAAAGATTGTGGCAGAAAGTGGCAGCTATGTACAGGTAACTTCCCCATTAAGTGCAGACCATCCTGCTGTACATGAAGTGATCAGCATGGCCGAGGAAAAGATTAAGAAATTGAAATTATCTTTAGAGGAAAAGGAGAAATGTCATGCAGATGTGGTCCTGCAATTGGAACAAACAGAGAAAGAGTTGCAAGCCAAGCTGCTGGATCAGAAGGCTACCTTAGAACAGGAAAAAGAAGAGCTTGAAAGTGCACTTAAAACTCTGTTCGCAGAAAAGTTAGTAGAGAAGGAAGAACAGTTGAATCAGGAATTAAAAAGCCAAAAGGAAAGTTTGATTGCGGAAAAGGAGCAGGTTGAAGTACAGCTGCAAGAGGAATTGAATAGAAAGCTAGAAGAAAAAGACAAAGAGCTAGAAAATCAGTTGACTCGGCAGAAGCAAGTGCTGGAGCAAGTGATTGCTGAAAAGGAGGCTCAGCAGAATATGCTGCATATGGAATTAGAAAACTACAAAGCCTCCCAAGCTCGAATGCAAGACTTGGAAGCCAATGAAAGAAGGATGGAATCGACTTTACAGGAGCTACGGCAGATTGTGGAGTCCAAAAACGAAGAGCTTCTTAAACAGCAAGAAGAGACAAAGAGAGTCGAGGAGGCCACAAGGAAAACAGTCATAGAGCAGATGGAGGATGAGTTTACTTGCATCATATGCCAAGACCTTTTTATTAATTCTACTACTTTACCATGTGCCCATTCCTTCTGTGAGTACTGCTTGAAATCCTGGCTGCAGAAGAAGAGCAACTGTCCAATCTGTCGTCAACCCATAATGGGAAGGCCCGTCAGGTCCCTTGTTCTTGATAACGCCATTGCCAAAATGGTGGAATCTATGGATGAGGAGACCAAGACAAGACGGCAGACAGTCAGCCAGGAAAGGGAAGAGTTGAAAAGAGGTAATATGGTACAAAATGCAGTGATCATCATTGATGGCTAAATGAGGCAGTGTTGCTGTTCAAACCCCCTATCTACGACTATTCCACCTTGTCTTTTGACTAGGTGACTAGGTGTAACTAAGATCTGTGCCAATATATGAGAGAAAAGTAATGATGTGTTCCTGATGTGAAAATGATGGCTTACCCAGTAAAGTGATTTCTCTTTGCATGGCTCATGTACCTTCAAATCTAAGACCATTGTTAGTCCAAAGTAGTCTTGTAATGTACGCGAAGAACAAAGAGATTGAGAAGTCTCCTCTACAATTGAATTTACAGTGTCAGAATATGCAGAAATAGAGAGTCACCGTAACTTACAGATTAAAGTACAAGAAGAACTGCAAAGTCTATCAGTGGCAAATTTCTGCGGTACGGAAGTTTACCGGATTACAATCCTATAAAAATACCTGCCAAAAACAGAGTACTATGTAACAAGTTTGTTGAAGACAGATTGAATTACGAGTATCAATTTCAAGCTCTTACTCACCAATTTCTTCAATATGCAAATATTACTTCTAGTCTCGGTGATGCAGTCCGAACCCGTTTGAAAGAGAGTAATTGGTGATGTGCATATCTATTTTGCCGTTAATTGTGATAATGTGATTACAACTATCTGAGATAGACGAAGGAGACAAATATTCTACAGTGGTTTTATCCCGTACTGTCCGTCCGAGATGTAGCTGAAGATTCGATTCAAGGCCAAAAGTATTTACGCCGAAACCGTGACCATTGAATTAAGTTTCTGTAGTCGGTAAGTAAGGCATGATAGACGTCCAGACTTAAGGGTTGGTAACACACCATAGGATTCACTGCATTTGTTCCTTTAGTCATGTCAGCATGTGCATTCATTTACAAAATATGTTCTGTTTCTAACCCTTTCACCATATTCACCACACAGACTATTTTAAAATGGGCATCATTGGGAGCAAGTTAGTACAGTTTTATAGTAGTTATTTTTGATAAAAGTTAACTAGTGTGCGTGATCAAGTCATACAATACTTGTAAGTCAAGACGTGTATGACAACAGAGAATTTTACAAATCAAGGTTGTGCTGAACAGTTTGTGCACTACAAATGATGCAAAATTGCTCAATCAGTAACATCAAAATTGCTCTTTTGGAAATGTGTGCAATATGTCATGGCTTGTTTTAGATCTGACAGCTTTTCTACGCTATGTGTATTTCAACAGATGTCTTGTAGAGAACTATGAAGGTATAGGGACCTACCTATTTTCAATGGGTTAGTTTGCTAACCAAACCATGCAGAATGTTGGAGAATAAGAAGCACAAAATACAAAATGGATCAGTTTCAATTTTTTCCACCATCTTGAATGTTCATTGTTTTGTTAATGGAATTCTCTTGCTATTAATCTGGTAGAAAAATAGTGTAAGAAACATGTTTGTTGTAAACAAACTATTAAATTCAGTGGCTACAAATCTCTGCTATTTTGGGTTTTGAAACACTGGCACACCACTATTTTGGATTAGGTGAGGTTACATGGTGACATAGTGAAAGAACTGTTGTTTTCTGATCATAATACTGGTAGCCTTTCGGCATCGTATTGTTCCAAAGGCTGCAAGTGGTGCAATAAAATCCCAATAAATGGCTGATATTGGTATCCAGTGGTGAAATGTTTTTTTTTTTAAATTTTATTTCAATAAATTTTCAGTTTTGGCGATATTGCCAATAATTTAATTGCAATTTGTTCCAATCAACAGGAGAGGTCTCCTTTAATGGTGGCCTACTGGTTTTAGGAAATGATTTCATGACATTTACAAGAGGAAAAGGACTCGGCTTTTTTAATTCTTACATTGGCAAAGAAAACAATCTGTTTTTTTAAAGGTTCGGTCAATTTTTTAGTAGGAATAAAAACATACAGCCAATTTTACTTTCAGTATGTACTTATTAATTAATGTATGAAATGTTGAGCACAGTGCAATGTAGGTCAAGCAAAGTAGGTAGTTCGTGGTGTGAGACCTGTGCAGAATGTCCTGAAGCTAAAAGTAGCCGCGCTAACCCTATAGTACAACTGTTGTGAACACTAATTTATACCAGGATTACTAACTCTTTGTAAATCTATCCCTGTAACTAACCATAACCTGTTAGGGCTTTAATAGTGTACCAACCAGAAAAGCAATACAGTGGAACCCAGTTAATCGGTCACCAACGGGCCAGAAAATCTGGTATTAACAGGGTGGCCATATTAAAGGGGTTCTTTAAATAAGAAAATGGCTGACTGAGCTTTTGTTCGGTCCAGAATAAAGTGTCCGTAATATTTAGTTGGCTGTATGAATGAGATTTTTCCAGTGCATTGTGTTGTGTCTTCTTTGGTTGCTGCAGCCCTATTGAATTGTGGTGAAAGGGTTAAATATCTGTCATTTGCAAGGGTTATCAACATTAATTTTAATTTCTCCATAAAACATCAGTACATTGTCAAGCAGACAAGTCATGAGATTAAAGAAAATCATCAACTAGGGGTGCCTTCTTTATGTACTTATACTGCCAAATTTTCAGGGCTGGATTACAGGGGATGTGCCAGTCAAAAGAAAGTTTCAATCTTGCATATTTAGTCTCAAAGGTTTACTCTATGAAAGTACTGTTAAGAAATTTGGAGAATGTTATTTTATAAAAGAACTAGGACTGGAATGACTTGTGTTCAGACAACGTTTTGTCCATTTTCATAAATGCAGTGAAAAAAATGAACAAGCAAAAAGGAAAAATAGAAACTTAACAAATCCCTGCAACATTTGTTTAGACCAACCTCTGGTATTTGTAGTAAAAATAATAGGCTTTGAAAATGTGTAATATCTTTTAACAATTTAGGTATTTTTCAAATAGTTAATAAAATAAATTCAACCTTTAAGGAACATATGTCAGTGTTGTTTTTGGGATTGTAACAACAAAAAATGTCAGTGTTAGTTTTGCAAGTATGGGTAAGACTTGGTGACCTACATTGCGGCCAGGATGTTGTTCTGTAAATATGGTTGGTCAGGTCCTACTACTTTGAAGTATATCCATCATTTAGAGAGGTGTACTAAATGTGGAATGTTAATTTACTGGTAGTAAATATTTAAGGTTTAAAACTCAACTGTTTGTGTTAATTGCTTCTGGGCTACTCCATTGCCCGAGTAATTCACTTTTGCACAAACCTTGATTATGTTTCAAAGAATATGAATAAAATCTTGCTTTGGATTTAGATATCTTTGTAAACTACAGTAGTATACTAACTATACTGTTAGTGTCTGGAGCCTTGCAGTTTTGAATGCCTTGATATGCAATTATTGAGTACACTGGGAATAGTTGTAGCTGCTGTGTTGGTTATACAATTATAAACAATTATTGGATGAGGTTTTTGTGATATCCAGAATAATCAAGGTCGAGGTAGGGGTTATAGGCTTTGGCTGATAACCCTTACCAAGACCTTGATTATTCTGGATATCAGAAAAACTCTAAATGTTTTTGCTTCTTCACTAATGGCAATAAACACAAAGCGTGCAAACTTGACATGATTACCCTTAGAAATCATGCACCGCGGTAATACATGACATGATTACCCATGACTTTGAGTGCCTTTGACATGATAATTGTATAATCTGCAGCTAGATGACGTCACAGCTGCTGATTTCGAAAATTCACTGTACACTTTTGGCCAATCAGAAAAGAGATAGTGAGTTCAATGTATAATAATAATGCTACAGACCAGGAAAAAGTTCGTCGTAGCTCTATGGAATGAGGACATTATTGGTAGGGAGGGTTGGGGAGTAGAGTCTAGTTCCTGTTACCTCAGTTTAAATTTTGCTCCCTCCTGATAGGGTACCACTTATCAATGTTTGTTCTTGTGTAGTCAGCACTACTATAAAAAAAGTAGTACAGTTTGAATTGTCTTGATTTTTCCCAGCAAGGGCTATTTAAATATTAGTTTTGATCATGGTTCTTTTTTTCTGGCTTTCTACTTTTGCTGATGAAGAAACAATAGGAAAAGAAATAAAACAAACTACTAACTAAAAATAAAGTTTACTCGGCGATTAATGGTCTGATAAGTTGCTTTCATTCACGAAGTCTCACATTTTAAGTATGATGTTAAAGGTTAATTCCTTGGACTGTTGGCAGATATTACATTAGATAAGACACCCAAATTTTAAGCTTTTGTTCCCCCATGTTCTGTCCCTTTCCCTGGCTCTCCTTCCATTGACTATTAAAATTAAGTATTCTATAACTACAGTGTGTCGGTCATCATCTGGACTTCATTAAGTTTTGTCTCCTTATGGGAACAATTTTGACCTTGCCTAAACAGTTCTGTTATAAGAAGAAAAAGAAACTGGAATTATTTAACACTGTATTCACTTGTGCAGTTGTCGTTACCCCTGTCTGATGGTGAAAACAAAACTAGTGTAGCTTAAATGGACCTTGAGAGAAACTTGAATTCACTAGATGGAACCAGTTTGCTTGGGTAATAAATATTTAGCTCGTTATGATGCAAATTTTCTTTTTTGTGTCTGCTTGCAATGTACTGAAACAAAGTTGCACTTACATAGAAGAACACAATACTGCATACAACCACTGATTTTAGTTACAGCTACATGACTTCAGTTTTCATTTGAATAGAGTTGTCAGTGTTGTAACTTTATGTTTGTGACTGTTAGTTACTTGTTAATGTTATGCCCTGCCCGCCTTCCCACTCGGCCATTCATTGGGAAGGAGTTGGGCATAAATTATTGTTGTTGCATTTGAGGTCCATATTTCAACTAAACTTGTGACAGTTTGTTGTGGCATCACTTTGGTACTCCAAAACGTTTTTGAAATCATGAAAAGACCTTCAAGAATATGCTTTTGCCTAACTTTCCCATTGATTTACTGTTCAGCTGCTTCTGGAGTTACACCTGGTTCACAGGACTATCCAATCACCGTGAATGATGGTGAACAAGGCAACCACAGTCAGGGTAACATGGTTACAGCAGCAACAACACAAAACACAGCTCGGCATGCAAGAGCTAGGGCACCTTATGTCCGAGGAATTCAAATTCAAGAGCAACGCCCTGCTGCCCATCAGAGAAACTACTACCACAGGAATTACGTCAACAGGTATTATGGTAACCATGGTAACCATAGTGGTGGTGGTGGTGGATATCGTTATGGTGGTGATTATGAGAGGCAACCATATCAGGAAAATTATATGCATGGTCCACCAGCAACATTCCATCCAGGTTATGGCCATTGCCATTTGTGTGGTAAGTATTATTGACCATTTAGCCTTGTAGGGCAAGGTGGCCTCATGGTTAGATGTAATTTGTGATAATCGGTATTGACATAAATTAATATTTTGCCAACACAGAACGGAGAACTGGGTGGGAGAGTAGTACGCAAAGGCTCAGGGGTAGTACATTTAAAAAAGAGACAGTTGAGAAACTTGTGACATTCTACGGTCAGCCTTGCCACTAGCACTTTCCCATAAAGTTTATTTTTATTGTGTGATTAGCGTCATGATTTGTTTTTTCATTTTGTTTATAGATCAATCTTTAAACCCCAAAGGTAGTGCCACTGCATTTGGTTGGGGGTACACAGTCCCTATTTTTCCAAACGAGGCTTTTGGGGTTTACGTGTCTGGCTTTGGCGCATGTAGGACCTTACTTGATGTATCACTTGTCCGCTTTGTTGTAAGCTTATTGTCGCAAATAAAACATATCCTGGGCCTGGCTGACCAATGTGCCCATGCCTCAACCTCAGAGTGTCTTCGGTTGTGTAGTGAAGGCAAAATTGCACTTGTCTCTGGGTCGAGGGGTCTGGGTTTGAACCCTGACTGGGTGAACCCTGACCGGGGACATTGTGTCGTGTTCTTGGGGAACACACTTTACTTTCGCAGTGCCTCTCCACCCAGGTGTACAAATGAATACTGGCAAATTTAATGCTGGACTAGCATCCCAACCAGGGGAGAGTAGAAATATTCCGAGTTGCTTCATGATAGAGAGACCTGAATAAGCTTCAACCTGATGGGCCATTTGGCTCGTATTTACATGTATACTTAATCTTTACCCAACCTTGATCTCCTATAAGACAGATTTTGCCCAGAGTTCAAGCAATAAGTGCAAAAATTATTTAGTGAATATACTAAAAATCTGGTCAAGGCATGGTTGCATTTTGAGTACTATTTGGCACATCTTAATTTAAGTCATTTCTCTTTAGTTAGTAGCCACACAATTACATTCCTAAGCATTCCCCAGAAAATGTATGTCAAACCCCATAAGAATGCTTTAAGGGTGTGTTGTTTTGAACTGACATGAAATGTCCCTTTAATTAAAATATGGATAACTTCAAATTCAATTTTCTCTTTTGAGGTCAGCTTGAGAGCTGAAGTCTCAATAGGTTCCGGTTAGTCGTGTGCAAAATGTTACCATGGTATGAGATTTTTTGGTAACTTATTTTTGCCTTTATTGCTTGAATCTTCAGCATAAACCTTCCTAACTTTTATTCATTACTTATAGTGCACAATTCTGTTCAGATATCTTGAAGGCTCTTATGAGAAAGATGATCAGAAATGCTGAGACACTATGACAGAAAATACTACAAGTGATGTAAATTCATCTTAAATAGAATCACATCAGTGCCTATGTGGCACTCTGAGGGTTTCAGAGATTCTTTGCTGTTCACCCTAGTGGACAGCCACTTGCTTGCATGGGCCTCCTCCCAACTCTTCCATTCCAGCTCCCCATTCCTTTCCTTTTCCACCCTTTCTTCACCGAGTTGATCTTGGTCTTGCAACACTTGTCGCACCCATTGGAGGCCAGGTCAATGTTTTTTTAGGATCGTTAGCAGGTTACATCTTCATTAAAAAAGAAAAAAACCATTCCAATGCCGATGCCTCTTCTTTACTTTGTCACTGAATGAGGGACATCCAGACCTCCTATATAGCTGTGATGTTATTTGCTTAATAACAAAAAATATTGTGAAACATCAAAGCTGTACCAAAGCGATTACAAAACTATTCTTAGAAGTATACCTTGTCCTAATCATTTCTGGCGGCAATTTTCCCACAAATACCAGACTACTGATCCTTAAGTCTCGCGCTTGTAAATCATTATAATTTGTATATGCTCGTTGTTGTTAAAACAGTTAATCTGATAATGTGCGTTAAATAATGGGGTTTAATATTTTATCTACAGGGATGAGAGGTCACTGGGCAAGGGGATGTCCTCTAAATAATCATTAGAATTGGAATGCTGGGCAAGTAGTGGCTGTGGGCCACGAGCAGTGCAGCTGCATAAGATGATGTGGAGCTAAATGCGTTAAATGTGTATCACATCGTTCTGATATTAAGGATTGAGAGAAAATGCTTACACTGAAAGATTGAAATGTATTGTTAGCTGGTTTGTTGCTGTCAAAGGTCAATAAAGCTTGTTAAATATTAATTTATTATTCCCAAACATTGAAAGAAGCAGACACAGAAATTTATTTGCTATAATCTGATAAGAATATGCATATTACTACAATTTAAAGAGATACATAAGGGAGTTTGTAGGAACTGACAGAATTAAAAAAAACTAAGCCATGGTCTTAAATTTAATCATATGGTAACACTATTTTTCATACAAGACTGAACTGTTGTATGGCATAAAGAATCACTTGACACCAAGGTTATTCAGTGAAAAAAGTATCAAATCGTGGTAATCCAGAGATGCCTACTGGAAGCATGGTTAGGTACAGTAATTTATACAGGGCTGAGAGGAGCAATTATGAAAGTGCTACACTTTCTTGATAAGCACAGTATTAGTGTGGTGAGGTGGAAAGGGGTTCAACCTGTTTGTTTCCCTAACCCCCTTTTAGAGACCACGCCCTTTAAAGGAGGGTAGACAGGTATACATCACTAGTCTTGTGGGAAACTATTGTTAAGGGTGGATGAGGTTTTGCCCTAAGGTAACAAATTATGTTAAAGAAAGATCACATCATGGCATTATTAAGGCAGGTATATTATTTCATGTAAGTACAATGACGTATCAGTTGTGATAATTGATTTCTAGTTGAGGAATGATTCAGTTAAGGATAAGTATCGGATATTTTGCTGTTACCGGCGTATTTTGTCTTGTTTCTAACTTGCTGTGAGTCGACAGTAACTGCCAGAAAGTTTGATTTCTGATCTCATTAAGTAATTATGATATTTTTGGCTGGTTGCTTATTAGGTCATGCTATTTTGGCAGTTAAGGTATGCCAAGTTGGCAAGTCTAAACAACCAAATGACTACGTGATTAAATCTTTGTTGAACGGGGCACGACAATTAAGTTGTCTACGAGTCGTCTAAAGCGATTAATCTCCTAAGGTTCAACGGACACGAGGACTTTCCATTTACAAGGTGCTAGTAAATTATGTTGGCACATTTCATCTCGTCCGTTCAAAATTACCTGCTGAGAAATTTGGTATTTTCCGTGAAAATATGCCGTAGTGGTTTAAAACAGCGAAGTTTAAAACAACAGATTCCATTTACCACTCGTGACTCACTATATATGTCTAAGATATGGGTTGTTGACATGCATGATAACCCTTACGAATCCATCGTTCATCAGGTGACAGGCCGCGATTTTTTTAAGAAAAATGAACAAAAGTGAATTCTGTGCCCCAGAGGGCCACATTATCCGGTATGAATGAATTTTTTCCTACAGAATTGTTTTCGAGGATTTCTATCCCATTTGACTGCTCTTTCAAACCGGAATTCCAATACCAGTTTAATTGCCAAAATAGCATGACCAAGTTACTTCTTAAGTATTAAACTTGACAA